CAAACCTCAGTGCTGAGGGAGGAGAGGAATCTCCCTGACACRAGTGTGGCTGCAGGACATGGTCTCTGCCATCACCCTTGGCTTCCTGCCCCTCAGAAAAGGAGAAAGTAGGCCATCCATTTATTTTCACTTTCCTTGCCCTTTCCACTGCCCCAGCCATACAAATACAGAAGGCCGAAATTTTCTCACTAGTGCAAAATATGGGAAAAAAACAGCAAGAGCACTAGTACTGAACCCCACCCCAAACTCCCYTATAAATAGATGGTGGATATTTCACAGATTTAGTCTGCTTCCAAAGCACAGAGAGGCAGTGAGGAGTCCTCCTGGAGATAGGACACACATCAGAAGAGGTCTGAATGAGGGGTACAGAGCTGGTTCTGCGCTTGGCTGACCTTCCTCTTCAAGGCCAGTGTGGTGCAGAACCATGTGTGCACTGGAGATGTTTGCAGTAGGAGTGTTCCCTTCCAGTGTGGTCCGGTGGCCCTGTTCCAAATGATGGTATTTTATAAACAGAGGTATCTTGAAGTATAAGAAGCATTCCTTGTTCTTCTCGTACCACTGTGCACTGTATCTCTCTGCTTATTTAATTCCTGCTATTCTTCTCTCTCAGTTCCTTTTCTGAATCCTGGTTTGTTGTGCTGATTTGGCAGGTACGTGGAAATCCCTCCCATCCCAATTGGCATTCACTGAAAAACTCCACAGCCTCTTGAGCAGCTCAATCATGTTAGGGCTTCATAAGCTCCTAAAGYGTTAATTCCAGCTTGTGCTTCCATAGAAGGGTTCCCAATGAATCAGCCCCTGGGCACACACACACATGCACGTGCAGTTTTCCATTCCTAATCAATCTTCTGCAGCTAAGTGGCTCTTAGTTCAATGTGAGAACCCTGCTGTTGTGTTGCACCACCGACGATATACAAAATACTGTTGAGCACCAGAACAGGTATTTCCAGTTCCTTGATCCTCCCCCTGCACAGCAGAAGAGTTTCTGGACMCTGCAGGCTGAAGTTTTCCCAGCCTTGCATCCAGTATTGACCTCACATCGTACCCAGTGATGAAGTCAAAAGTACTGCAACCTGCAGGCCAGCGCTTTCCTCTCCCGTTTCAATTGGTTACAAATAAGGTCTGGTTTATAAAAATGTGTTTGTTCCAAAATAAGTATTTCCAAGAATCACCACAAATGGGGGAATTGTCATTTTTGTTGTATTTGTGTTTATTAGAACATATGTACTTATTACAATTGTCATTGTAATAAACAGTAGTTCTTCATAATACTGTTGAAGAGCAGTTACTAATTTTTTTTCCAGACTCCAGAATGTCCTTTAACCTTTATGGGATCTCTGAATGGGGCAAGGAGTTTGGGATCAGGCTRTAAACTTAATTTCATCAGCACGTCTCTGCTTACTGGAGTTCATCCTTCTGCCAACACTTGAGCAGATGCATGGAGAGCACTTCAAGGGAAAACATTTTTCTGAAGGTGCAAATGGTTGGGGTTGCTGAGCTCCCCAGATGGTTCRTAGCCAGGTTGTTGTGCCTCTCGCCTTTTCTCTCTTTTGAAGCACATATAAAAAAAAAATTAAAAAGCTGAACTTTGTTTCTAGAAAATTCCTTGTATCTTGTTTCTGATCTGAGGACCATAGCCCTCTCACTGCTTGTATCAAGGGGGGAGTGACTGACATAGGGAGCCAGGGCAGTGAAATACTTTGGGGGCACCAGAAATGTGGCTGTGCTGAGGGGAGAGCAGTGTTCTGAAAGGGGAAAGAGTTGTCCTTCCCCCCACCCCCTGTGAGTAACCCATTCTTCTGTTATGGTTTTAATATGCATTTGTAATTACCTTTACTAAATAGCACACCATAAAGCTTTGGTTATATATTAAATGTAAACTGAAAGGAATGTAAACATATGTATTGTTAATTATAAATAGATAAGTAATGGCATAATAGATAAAAAAAAAGTCTTATTCAGATGTATCAGTCATTTTACATTATACACAAACTGTCGCATGATAGAGTAGATTTTTGTCTGAATATGTGAATAACTTGACTTGCGTTTATCTTTTTACATATTTAATAAAAAAATATATGTTAAAATCTGTCTAGCTCTAGAGACTATTCGGAACATTCTAAAATAATAATTTTCTGGATTAAATACATATTTTTGATTCATCAGGGACTGTACATGGGAGCAGGAAAAAAAAAAGCAGCTGCTTTAAAAACCCAGAAGTTCACTTATCCTGTGTGTGTGGATAGCATCTGTTTCCCCAAGAGCTCAGCAACTGTATCCCCTTCTATRAATCAAACCAGAAAATGCTTGTGTGTATGTGCATGTAAACAGCACATTTTTCTTTATGGTGAATACTTTCAGATTTCAGAGTGCTAACTCCCTTGGGTATCAGTCAGAAGCAAAACTGGCAGCAGCCAGCAGGCAAAGAGAGAACTACAGAAAKGTGCTGAAGCTCCCCGTGGGCTTCCTCACAGTGGCCAAGTATTCAGGGATGAATTGTTMATGCAGTACCTAAAAGCTGCCTATATTTTAGATTAAAGTATTAGGTTTTGTTGGAAGAAAAGGGGGAAAATTCATTGTCRTTCTCAGAGCTCTGATCTCTTGTAGCAGCAGCAATGTTGCTCAAGCCCAGGAGCTGTGAGCCTTGGGACAGGACCCTTTCTTCTGTGTTGAAGTGACCCGGTTGCGAGCCACCAGCGCATGCCATAGCTGCTCCAGGTATCTCTGAGCCTCTGGCAGAGGAGGGGAGGATGAAGCAGGGACCAGAGGAGCCCATTTCCAGCTTCAAAACTGGGAGAGCAGCTTTTGTTTAGCTGCTTTTCATAAGACCAGGAGGAASGCATATCCTCAGGTTAGTACAAATGCTCTAAAGCATGAAAAAAAATTAATACCTTTTCCAGTTCAGATAGTTGAAAACTTTCTGCCATAATGCTGTGACCAAAAATGTTTGTTGTTAGACTGTTAGGTCATTTACATAGCTGACTTTGCAAAATAAATCTGTGACCATACAGCCCTATGAACAAAGTATTTTTATTCCTATTCATTGAACCAGTTGCCATCTGTGATGGCTGATAATTCAATATATACACAGTGCAATACATGACCTCTGTTTATACTTTTCTTTATAGAGATTGTAGTGACAAGTTGCTTTAAAAAGGAAAAAGAAAGTTATTTGCTGTGTTTCCATATAGAAGGTGAAAATGCTGGCCAGAGCTTAGTGTCCTTTAAAAGTGATACTTGATTTTTCTTTAGAAAGGTACAGGCAGGTTGTGGTAGTTCAAGTTTTATAATTTCATTTAATGAATATTTCAAAATACTCCGTTACAGTGCATCAAATAGCATCGCTTCTGTGAGCCTTATTTCCARCTGTTTCCTAAATAAGTGCAAGACAGTCGGAAAAAGGAAGCCTGTCCAGAGAGTTTCTCCAATACAACCACATTCAATTCAGAGTTAGTTTTGTTTATTGTATCCTAATTCTTTTCTTACTAGAATTTCTTCAATCCTCCTTGTGATGGACAACTGAAATACAAACTGCCTTTATAAAGCAGGTGAGAGTTTTGTGGCAGTGTRTCAGGTATTGGATTTGAGTTCATCAAATGAGGAGACTGCTGRGTGTATGCAACAGCATCAAACTCCTCTTTCCCCTTCAAATACAGTCAGAACTGCCTTTTTTTTTGGCAAACCTCATCAAAGAAAGAGCCTTCAGACTTACTCCAGGGGAATCCTTGGGCAGTTAGGGAGTGCCTCTGTGGAGACCCCACGGTCCCTGAGCGTCACACAGGGTCAGGGTACAGCTGCCACACCAGTGGGGAGGAAGGCTGGAAGATGCCTCTTGTACCTGGACCACAGTGGTGCCAAAGGGCATCCTCTCTTCCCTGARGGGCTCTTGGCAGAATCTCTGACTCAGCATTACAGAATGATCTGTCCCATCTGCCTAACTCAGACCTGAAACTGAAGTGTGCCTCATCTGATGTTCATTTGGGGGGTGGGACCCTCAAAGTGCGTGTTTRGAAGGTGGAGCATGGATGGTTTAAAACCATGAGGAGCTTTGTGAGTCAGAGTGGTATTTCTGCTTTGAACAGAGGGGAAGCTGAGGGGCAGGCTCATCCCCTGGCACTGGTGGTAAGGGCTGCCATGGGAAATTGGCCCTGTTGGTGCTGTGGGAGGTCACTGCTCTAACAGGCACTACCAGCTTAAGCTGAAGCTGTCCATACCCTTGTCAGTGCTCAGCTGAAAACATTAGCAGGAGCTACTGATGTAGGGGTAGGGTAACTGGGGGGAAAAAATGATCAGGGTGTTGATAAACTCACATAAATGGTCTAAGAACTGAAAAAGATGAACTTCAGGCTCAGCTCAGGAGCTCAAAAACTGCATTTCTACCTGGCTTCTGGCAAGTCAGATGGTTAAATAGTTAATAAACTAATAATGCCAGGCTGTCAATCACATCCCTCTGTGCTTACCTTGGAGAAGTGGACAGATTGTTTAATTAGTGCTTCAAGGCCACAAAGGCCCTCTGGCTAGGGCAGCATTTGAAAAGAGATGAAACTCAAATTCTTACTCCCTCCTCCAAAGGCACACAGAAAACCTGTGTGTATTAAAGATGAAGGGAGCAGCTTACATCTGCATGCAAATGTGTAATTAAAAAAAAATCTATTTTCTTGTTTTTCTTTTGACATTTTTTAAAACTACAGGAATTTGCTTCAAGCACAYAGGCAAATAATGACTTGTTTAGCATTTCACACTGGTAGATGATGTTGGACTGAAACTAGTTTCYCAGAGAAATACGTGAATCTTTGAAGGTTTGCTGGCAAAATTTATTTTCAGCTGTTTACCTTTGTAGGCAATATTGTTTGTTGCTACTGAAATACAAACAATTTGCCTGTTACTGCCAGAAAACAAATAGGAGGGCCAGCAGCTGCTTGTATGGAGTCTGCATTTCTGACAGATACAGGTCAGCTGAAACTCATCTTAATGCTGAGAATGGGAAAAAAAACCCACACGTTTAAAAAATACTTTACTGTACTCTTAGCTTTCTGAGCTGATTTTCTTGTCTTCACACACTCATATGAGGTGAGGAAAAGACTGAATGTGCATAAGCCCTTCAGGAGGTTGTGTGGAAGAAATCAGTTGTGAGACAATAAATATGGCAAATGAAGCAGGCACAGAAGTCTGAATAGGAAGGACTTATAGGGAGGGTTTGCATTGCTGGGGTCCCACTGGTGACTGGGCTGGGCAAAGCCAGTACTGGAAACCACCAAGGGTCTCATGTAATCTGGCATGGATTTATCCAGGGCTTTGGACACACTGGTAAGGAGGAGGAAGACAAAAGAGAGGCAAGTAACACAGATTGATAAAAAGAATAAATATCAACAGAACAACTTGGTAGACTTCTCTGTTGGACAGGCATCTTCCTCTGAGATGAAGCGTCTTCCTGCATAGCTCATTGTCGCAGTGGTTCAGACAGCTGTACTAATCTATTCTTTGGTTATTTTAATCAGATTCATTCCAACTATTTATCACATCAGAAGAGCTGCAAATCTCCACTTCAAGTGTTACAGTCTGATCGTAGTGCAGGTGTTCACTCTTGGACTCGTTTCTTCAGGGAAAAGATGTAAATRTTCAAGTGCTCACTCAGCTGCCTGCCCTAAAGAGAAATCACAGAGATTAGCAGCCTGGTTTGTGTGTGCTTCACAATTCACTGCCTCTCCTCTCCCAGTAAGGTGRGGGAGGACCCAACCACAGTCCTCAYGTACTTGGGGATCTGTGAGTACACAGCACCTCTAAGTATTCAAACAAGGGAGCTGTGGTCCTTACGTTCCTCTTGCAGCACACTGCTGGGAGGTTAAATGGCTACAGGGCGGATTCTCACACAGCATAAACTGTGAGGGGGCTGAGCCACTCAGTCAAGAGTGAATTTTGACCAGGTATTTCCATTCTGACCCAACCAACAGGCCCATATCAGTGCTGGGGTAGACTCTGCTATGATACCAACGTCTGATGACAAAAGGCTGCTTTCAAAGGAAAATCCTGACATCCCAATGGTGTGGCTTAAATAAAAGAATGCTGACCAGCTCCCTCTGAAATGAGATCTTTGCCATGCAAGGTGTTTTATCTAAAAGCTAGTGCCRTTAAAGGAGCTGCTGAAGGATCATTTAACAATTTAGAAAAGTGGGCATTGACAATTTAAGCAGTGGTTCAGATGACAATGACAAGACTGAGATCTAGCAGACACAAAAATGTGTGGGTAGGATTGAATGAACTGGAAAACTATTCATGTCTCCAGCTTGAGAGATGCTAGCAGAGGGCCAAGAAAAAATTGGGACAGCTATTTTGCCTGCAGACTCAAAGCAAAGCTGACCTTATTTTACTATTTCTACTTATGTCACTTYGCATTTTACCTTCCTATTTTTTCAGTCAAGTGACCTTAGAAAGAAAAAAGGCAAAAAGAGAGGGGTGAGAGCATTCATGCCACATGAATGGGCTGACTGCTGTGTAAAACCAGGCCATAAATATTCTGTTTCTGATGGGTTTAAAGCCAAAACCTGTTGGCTACATTGGAATCATTCAAGTCACTGAAGTTGCACATGCAAAAAGACATTGCCTGCAATAAACTGACTTTTTTTTTTAACTTTAGACTAAATAAAACAACATACAGGATTTAAAAAAACCCTCAAACATAAACAGTTAGACTCCTAGACAATGCCCCAACCAGGAACTGTTTCCAGGCATGTTTGCTCACCACGCAGACCCCGTAGTGCACGTGGGCAGCCGTGACCAGGGCGGTGAACACGCCAAGAACCGCTTCTTCAGTGCAGCCCAGCAGCCCGGAGATGGCCGCGTACACCACCAGCGCCAGCGGGAACAGGAACCAGTGGAACAGCTCGGGCTGCGTGCTGCTCATCTGGCAGATGATCACCTTGCACTGCCGGGGCAAAAWGGGACAGGTGAGAAATGCTGGGCCAGTCCTGAAGGGCTGAAGAAAATAACATCCATTTTCCCCACGGGTTGCTTTGGTTGTGGGGGAAGCAAGGCCACAGTTCAAAATAGGGCTTTTTCTGGTGAGAAAGCTGCTATGGGTACACCTTCATACCTCAGAGAGTCCTAGAGGATATTGCAATTTAAAATGAACCCTTTTCTGGAGAAAGTGCTTTGATACACTTTTCAGCACATCTTCACAAAAGGGGAATTTGTTTGCCACTTTGTTTTCACTGAGGCTCGTAAAGTTGTGATCCCAAGTCAAACGTGCCACCACTTAATCACTGGGAGAGCGTGCTGGTATTTTATTCACACGGCATGACAGAAATATCTTCTGGTTCATTGTACAGAACRGAGGGAAGACAATATATGACATTTTCATATCCTGTTTTTCTTTTCTAGCACTCCTTCATGTACTTGGCTCAGTCATGGCAGTGGGCTCCCTGGAGATGTAGCTGGGGGCCCAGAGAAAGGGATCCCACTCAGAATGGCAGAAAAAATGAATACATGATGCATGGTTTAACTGAAGGCAATTAGCTTAATTCTACTGAGTTCTGGAAACAACRTGACGAACTTGCTTCAAATTCAGTATTTTAATAGCAATTAAGCACACCAAAGTGTTTTGGCTGGTTTAAGCTCCTTAAGAAATGTGTCTCATATACACCATGCCTATTACAAAAAAGAAAAGGAATTTAGGCACATCTGAAATATTTTATTGATTTAAGTTTCACTCAAAACTGAAATGTGGTTAAAAATAGATTTTATGTATCCTGAAAACAGTAGAAGAATGAAAAACTCATTTTGTGTGCAGTGCCTGAAATCTTATGACAGAAGCAGTAGGATTCTGACCATAGGAAAGAAATATTGACTTTACTGCCTGTGCTGTGGAAACTGAAGAATGAAAAAAAAAAAAAAAAATTAACTTTGAATAATGGAAGAAGTAAGCCTTTGTACCTAATTTTAATATTTTCACTTACAATGCATTCTCAGTATTGATTGTGAATTTTTTTTTATAACCCTGGTTTTATGAGTCCTTTGGGATTCTTTGTAGAGCGTATCAGAAATTCCTAAAGCAATCTATATGTTAACATTTTTCTGGCTACATAACTGAACCTGTCCAGAGGTTGGATTTCACATTGTTTTAAACCATTATTTTGTATTTTAGTGACCAAATACATGGTCAAAGGCATGAGAAGTTCCAGATACTGGAGCTGGAATGGCAGGCAGGGAAACATGATCTGCAATTTGTGGGCTACAGAACAGGTAATGGAAACCCAGTGTGTCAGGTTATCAGGGAGAAGAAAAGTATTGCTGTGACAGTCCTTCCTCTGATGCTGGAGGAGATGTGTCTAAGGGAYCAGAAGGGGTGAAAGGAAATAGAGGCTTAACTTTCAACTTTAGAATTTTACAAATTCCAAGTAACACTCATGTATTTTTAATGCTTGCTTTTAAAATGTTAAAAATTTCAGCTGACACGCATGCATTTTTAATTCGCACGAGCCTCCAACACTTCAGTGTAYGTTTTGGGAAAAGAAAAAACAGGGCCTGAAGAATACCTATTACACTAAATCTCTGATAAACTGTAAAGAAACTTCTGTTTTGCCTTACTGTTCTTCTTCTGCAAGCATCCTGCCCCAATCACTCTTAGTTAAGATGAATGTGCAGAACGTGCCATCTGCCAAACTCTGAAAGCATTTTCCCTRCTGGCATGAAGCAATTGTGTTTCTCATTTTGGAATCTACACTATTCACTCAAGATAAAAAGGGCACATTRGGTAATGAATAATGCATACAATAAAACTTACACATCTGAAAATAACCTTGGTTTTGTGAGATTAAGTCCTTAAGATGGAACTGTTTGATTTGTGACCCTCATTTATCACAATTACGATTTTTTTTTCCGTTCCTGAATACGAATTTCTAAAGGAGTTATGCTTTCTCTTTTTAAAAAGTCCCACATTTTTGAAGATGTTTCTCATACTGAAAGGCACTTCCAGCCTTTCCCTTTTTAAATGGGATGTWGCATTGCTCAGTGGGAAGATTTTAGATGGTATTAGAGACTGTTCTCCTGAGATGACACTAGTCCTATCCTCTAGGGTATTTTAGCTTCAATGGTAGAACACTTTCCTGCATGACTGCTCTCCTGGCTTCCCCCAGAGAGGAAARCCCTGGGTCACCTGCAGGGCTGAGCACCACTGTGGCTGCCCATGCTAGACCTTCACAGAGGTTTGTGTTACCTCACAGGCATTAAAAGGGGGAAACTGGTCACTGTGATGTGGTATAGGAGAAACTAATCTGTGAGCAGAGAGCCATCACAATGCCCCTACAGCTCTTCACATCTTTCCCTAAAACAGTCTGTCAGTGTTATGGCCTCATTCTAAAGGGTGAAGGGAATTTGTAGGATCAGCTGAATTGCAGGATACAGGAACGCATGTACCTCACTAAGAGTAAGGGAAAGCTACAAACACTCTACTCTCACTTGTAAATCTGTGCCAGTGTTGCCCTTTCTTTTACTTTGACAAGTCCCCAGTTCTGCCTGTAGTTGGGGARTACCTGTTCTATTTCTGGAAGCAAGGCATCCCTAGGGTTTCCCTAAACCCTCAGAAAACAAACCAGAACCATCCTACAAGTGTTATGCCTTAACAGAATAGGTATTTGGGTATTGTAAAGGTCCCAGTCCAGACACATGCTGTGATTTTTATGAGACAGAGTGTAACCCAGAGGTAGAAGAGCTGTGTGACTGCTGATTTTAGCTACATTTTTCTACTCCCTTCTGCTTATTCACAGGAAAAAAAAATAAAATAAATAAAAAAAGAAAGCTATCCCTAAATAATACCACCATCTCAAATATACTTACAATAACATTTGAGAAAGCAACCCCAACCATCCATAAAAACAGTCTGGGTTGCTTTGCTAATATGTTGCTTGGAGATAAAACCACCCAGACTGTAAGAAGAACGAACAGCAACAGAGGTGACACAAGAGGTAGCAGTCCTTCATAGAGAGAATCATTCTTCAGTGTTTTCTTTAAATGTGCTCTGGAAATAAATACAATCATTTTAGAGAGAAAGAATATTTATCTGTTCTATTTCCACACAATAGCTTCAAACTCTAGACTAAAATCAGCCCAAAAATTAATCTTGCAACACAACTACCTGTGCAAAYGTGCTAGGTACCAGACATTTTACAAGAAGTTGCAGTATATCCCAGTAACACGTATTTCTGGGGTTAAATTATACTGGTTCATTCACACAGCTCCTGATCAGCTTCACCTGCTCACCATTGTCTGGCAATGGCCCAGTAAACTCACACAAAGTGAGCTGCAGTGCTCTCCAGCATGCGAACATGCTGTGAATTCAAAATACATGGCTTTAGAGGATGAAGCCTCTAACATGAGGCATGACATTGTTTTGATCAATACACCCCACGTTTTCAGTGACAGCAGAGTCAGGCACGTGGCTGGCAGGTATTGTTTACGTCTAGAGGTGACACTGCTTGACAATCCTGTACATTAGGATTTAGGTACKTTAGTCAAAGGGGAGGCTTTTTGGCTAATTGGAGTACAGGAAAATTAATGATGCATTGTCTTTTCTTGGATATTTGATGCTGTGTTTTAAAGGTACTACTATTAGAGTAAATTACTGCATTTTCTATCAGCTGGGGAAATGGTATCTGTAAGTTTGCTGTCACTAAATCATTCCTTCATACCTCTAGTCCAGAATAGCAATTCTGTGTTTGAAGTGTGCTGGGAAAAGTCCTGTWTAAGGTCTCTGAACATATGTATTTATAGAAACATCTAGACAAAAATCCAAGAAATATCTTTCTCMTGCCAAAAAGGAATACTCTTCTCCTAAAATAACAACTGAGAACAGAYATCAGGATGAAGAAAGAAATGAGATGACTGGAAAACTCAAATCCCTCCTCACCAAAGATCTTGTGTGTGCATCCTTCAAGCAAACCTGACTGGAAGTTTAAAATTTTTGCGCCCTTGCGTTCAGAGGAACGATAAACCCACCGGAAGGCTTGAGAGGAGCTATGTGGAACGATGACTTGAAAAGGATAAAACTAAACAAAACTTCCTTCCTGACAGGAATGGAAGGAAACCAAAACCTCAGTGTTCATGGGGTAAATGCTGCCACTGCCAGGGGCTGACAGGTACAAGGTGCTTCCCTCGTCCCCTCAGTGCTCCCTGAACCAGAGTCCCTTGCACAGGTTGTTCCCAGCCCCCTGCCCCACAGCCCAGCCTTTCTGCAGGTCCTCAGCCTTTCCTGTCCCACATCTCCTGGCTCTCCACACTGCCTGCCCCAAACCCAGGGCTGTGCACACTTTTGGTAACTACACTGAGCACAACACCAAAAGAGCTGTGCAGGACAGAGGCGATATTGTCTTATAGTCTCTCCAAAATTTAAATGTTAATATCAGTTTCCACTAATTCCTGAAGACAGGCAGTGACAGTCCCTCCTCCAGACGCTTAGGACCTGAGAGACCTGAAGTGACAGATGAGTGAAATGAGCTAGCAAATACTAGTGGAAGGCAGGCAGCATTCATAAAAATAGGCCATGGGAGCATGAACTAACCATGTATAAAACTCCTAGGTGCAGCAAGCCAGCTCTGAGATGTAATCACAGCTTGCCACCTGCCTAGCTTGTCTCTGGTAGCAATTACCTGCAGACTTCATACTGAGGAGAGATTTACAGAAGGACAGGAAGACAATTAAAGTGCTTCACAGAGTGCAGGATGGTCAGCTGTGGAATTCTGCCTAGCACAGGCAGAAGTTGCAAATCACATTTGATTGCAACTAAAATGCAGTGTTTTCTGCTATAGAACCTTAATCAGTTTATTGTGCATGACCATTGTGAGACTGCCCGGAGGACAGCAAGTGATAGGAAAAGGAGACAGTCATAAACATGGAGAAAAAACCAGCCAGATTCTGAAAGTCACCAGAAAAACCTTTCACTACATCATCAGACAGCATTTTTTTTCATCTGGATAAAAGAAGCTAGGCTACTTCAAACATTACATTTATTTCTAAGCGAGGGAACCATTAAATATACAGAATTAAAAGGGAGGTGATAGAACTTATTTAATGTTAACTTACCTGTGAATGTTGTATAGTGTTTGTGGAAATGATAGAAATAAACTGAAGCCTGGAAGAGAAAAACATTAATATATAATTGTACGCTCAGAGACCTCAGAGTTTTCTCATATGATAACAGACCTAGTGTGCTATTCTAAAAATGATTTGGTATTCCTGTACTCATTGCAGGATATGAACTGAGTTTGGAGGCTTAAGGCAATAATAAAACTGCCAT